GCTGCCGCAGCCAGGGCACGGCCCTGGGTGGGTGAGGAGGGGACACGGCCACCCACACAAAGCCAGAGGCAGCCACGCACTGCTCCCCCTGAGCTCCCACCAGCTCCTCGTGAACAGCAACTCGGGGGGAGGGGAGATAAGAACATTCATTTTTTAACCCAAAATAAAGCATTTTGTAAGCGAGGAAGGTTCTGAAACAAGACAGACACAAAGTAACACGTTCGTTTACATTCAGCCACGCAGGGGTTACCACAGGTCAGGTCCTGGGGGGCGACCCCCCTAGGCAGACGCTCCCTCCCAACCTCTCGCAGGAGGTCGGGGACCCCGAGGCCAGCGGGTCAGCCGCGGCCCCCAGCCTCACTGAGCGACAGCGGGATGAACAGAAACGGAGCAGAGGAGCCGTGTTCTGGGTGTTTGTAGTGAAGCGAGTGCGGGTGATAAGTTTTCACTGAGCAGCCAGGGATTCCCACGGCTCCGTTCTCCTAACGGGCAGGAGGCGGGAGCGAAATCGCCAAGTTCCCAGCACAGAGCTGGGCCCGTCCCGAGTCCAGGGGTGAAAACAGAAAGAAAACGAAGACGCTTCCGGCCGGGCCCTGGGGTGCCCCGTGAACCGTGGCTGACAACACAGTCCCTGCTTGTCCACACGGGGGACGATCGTGCCCCGGTCCCGTCTCCCCGGCAGGAGGGGGCGGGTGTCATGGCGCATTCGCCTCGTTGGACGACGGATCCAGGGTAGGAAATCGTTTCACACCAACTGCTTTTCAAAGTCGGGTTGGAGCTGGGCTACGAACATCACGTCACGCGGGACACATCCTTCCTGGGCCCTCGGTGCTCAGTGGCCACCCCCCACCCCCCAGCATCTCCATCAACACGCCCGGCTTCAGTCGGGTTGGAGCTGGGCTACGAACATCACGTCACGCGGGACACATCCTTCCTGGGCCCTCGGTGCTCAGTGGCCACCCCCCACCCCCAGCATCTCCATCAACACGCCCGGCAGGCGCTTTCCTGTCTCACTGGTGCAAACCTGCGGCTTCCCCCCCAGAACTGCCCCCAAAGCAAAACAAACTGGTCCCCGCGGCCTGCGGGGCCTCTCGTGTCTGTTTTGAGACGTTCTGGTTAGGAATGTGACACAGTAGCCTGTGTCCTTCCACGGGCCCTCTGCGTGTCCTGTGTTCCACCGACAGACCCGCCCCCCCGGGCCCCAGGACCACAGAAAGGGGCGCCTCGCCCAGCAGAGGCTACTCCTCATCTAAACTGAGTGAGGAGACCCCTGGGCGTCACTGTGTGGCCGCCCCACCTGACGCCCAGCCCTCCGGGGACCATCTCTCTGGAGGCCCAGTTTGGCATTCGGCTCTGAAACGGTCAACATGCTAGGAAGGATTCCCAAGGAACAGCACAGTGGAAGCCGTGTGGTCGCTGTTTAAGGACTGGAAACATCAGCCTGTCCCCGCTCATAGAGAAATGCTCGCGCCCGTCATGAGGTTCTCAGAGAGGATATGGGTGCCGCGCTGCGAAAGGGACGCATGTGAAAGAACACGGTGTGTCTCCCTCGCTGTGAGCTCCGTGCCCTGGGATTCCCGTCTCCTGTGGGAAAGGCCAGGGCAGCCCGGCAACACAACCCGAGTCCCTCCTAAGATGAGGAACCGTCTTGCCGGGGTCCCTCCTTGGTGCACGAGCCAGCACCGTCCCCTCTGCTCTCACGGAGCTTGTCAGTCACTCCCTCCCTCTGGCACCAGCTCCAGATTCAATCAAGCGGATCATGTCCAAACATATGAACTGGTAACTCTCATAACCACAGAGCTTACAGAGCCCAGCCCCTTCCCACTGCCCCCCGACTGCCACCTGACTCCCTCCACGGGGCTAACGGGTAAGTAATACTGAGCTGGGCACGAGGTCATTGGAGCAAGTATTTCATCCTCCAAGTCCAGCCGACAGGAAGCCCTGTCTGTCCGTCTCTGAAACGTCCGGCATCATGTGACCAAGAAGCGAGAGCCGCCTGCCTGTCAGTCCTCGCGCTCCACAGAGCAGTGAGTGTCACGTGAACAACTGGGAAGATGAGCGTCCACCTGCAGACCTGCCGTGCACATGCCTGTGCTGGCCCCTCAGGTCCACAGGCTGCTGGTCACTCTGCCACGTGTTCTGAGGGCGATGTTCTTAAAAATCCACCCCCTCCCCAGAATTCCGTAATCCGCACTGAGCACCCCGGCCGGGGTCCCAGGGGCCGCGTGCTCGCCCTCAGCACGGCCAGCAGCCATGGGCTTCACCTTCTTCGGGGGGAGCAATTCTTTCTTTGAGTCCATCATGAAACACAGACGTGGCTCAGGGGCTGAGCGTCCACCTATGAACCAGGAGGTCAGAGTTCGATTCCCCTGGTCGGGGCACATGCCCGGGTTGTGGGCTCCATCCCCAGTGGGGAGTGAGGGGTGCGTGCAGGAGGCAGCCCATCAATGATTCTCTCTCATCACTGATGTTTCTCTCTCTCTCCCTCTCCCTTCTCCTCTGAAATCTATAAAAATATTTTAGAGAGAGAGAGAGAGAGAGAGATCGTAGACCTCACCAAAGGCTCCACCAGAACGTGCGCAGTGGCGACAGGAACCCCTCTGACTTACTTAGTGGGTGAGAAAGGGCTTAAGAGCTTTACTCATGCCCTGGCCGGTTTGGCTCAGTGGATAGAGCGTCAGCCTGTGGACTGATGGGTCCCGGGTTGGATTCTGGCCAAGGGCA